GTAATCGGGATGGGTGTGTCAGAGGCAGTGACATTGGCATAGGATAGAGCAGGGTTCAGGGCTGTTGTACATAGGGTCGCTATGAGTCGCAAATGACTCGACGGCACATAACAACAACAACAACAAGAGTTGTATATTTGTTTACAGCTATAATGACATCTCCTGTTACCTGTTCTTTCTACCTGCATTTACCACTGGATAGTTCTCCTGCTTTCCTGTTCTCACCACCACATTTCTTTCGCCCCGGACTCTTATTTCTGTCTCTTTTTCTTGCGTCGCCTGTTGCCTCTTTTCCTCTACCTGCAAGACTATTTTGTACACTGAGGCCTCCTTTTTGCCTGCCTCGTTTCCATGTATCCCAGGCCTGCACTGTTCTGCCCGCTGCCACATTTCTGAATCTTGCTGTCTCATTTCTCCCTCTGCCCTATGTCTCTGGCCTGTTCCTTTCCTCTTGAGACTGTGGCCTTGGTTCTGGGCCTGCTGCCCGGGTTCTCTCGGGCCACCAAGCAGTCACACCCCTCAGAAGCCTGGCTGGTCCCTGCAGCGGGGTGGGGGAAAGAGCTGGCCTAGGGCTCCACCCCCTTCCAGCTGTTGTCTGCCCTTTCGCTGGGGGGTCTATTCTTAGGCCCCCAGCACGTGGATAGCAGCTGCCTTGGGGGAGGGACCAGGCTGCCCTGGGGTCCCCTCGGGACACTGCCCGGTGTGACTGGACTCCAGACCCCACCCCGAACCAGAGGCTCTGAATGAATGAAGGCAGGCAGGGCTTTCTTTGTCCTTCCCTGACCCTGATGTTGGTCTGTGCCCTCATCCTCCTCTTCCCGGCCCCTCTTCTGGAACAATCTGAGCCCACCCTGGCACTCCGGGCCTCTCACTGTCTTTCTTTAACCTCCGCATCACCTCTCTGTCCATCCTACATTGTCTTTCCTAGGTCTGTCCATCTCTCCCCTCTCTGTCACTTCTCCTTTCTCTTCCTCCCTTTGATATTGGCTTTTCTCTCTGAAAACACCCAGCTACTTACCTACTACCCGAGCCCTGGGGCCACCACCACCTTGGGGGAACACTTGCCCAGCCCTCTTTCTCCTCCTGCCCCTCTCACCATCCAGCAGTGACACTCCTAGCTCAACTCTGTTAATGGTGATGATTAATCATGCCACCTTCCCAACACCCGCCTCAGGTGAATGCTGCTGGCATGTCCATTACCAAGTTGACACAGCAAGGAAGTAGAGAAGCTGCACTTGAACTCAGGGTTCTAGAACCTGTACTTCTGTCCATCTGTCTGACCTACACCTGTATGACACCCCTGCTCCTCAGAGTTCCCTTTTCAGTCTGTCCTGTCCCTGCAGTTCATCTGTTCAGCCACCAAGGATCATGGGGTCCTCCATCTACTTGAGTGTCTACCTAGGAAAGTACTGGGGCATCCCTCACTGTCCCTCCCTCCCTGAGGTCATTCTGGTCCTCTCCCTTCTGTGTCTGCTGCTCCCACCCTGACTGGGGGGTCCTGCTGGCCACCCCCACCCCTCTGCCTGACCCAGTCCCACCTTGCAGCCTTTGCTGTTCATGGACTCCAGGGTCCTCTTTAGGGCCGGGGTCGGGGGCTCCAGCAGTTCCACCTGGGTCCTCACTCCTTGCTCCGTGTACGGCCCGACCAGGTAGTAGTTATCACCCCATTCATCGCCCGTCACCTTGGCCTTGGTCTGCAGCACCGTGTAGATACCACCCACTGTGGACCCAAGAGCATGAGGCCAAGTCCCAGCCGACCAAGGTCTGGAGGTCTGGGACCTGGGGCAGGGGCACGAGGGCTCTGGGAGCCTAGATTTCCAAGTGAGAGGGAGAAAGGGCGTGAGGGCATTAAGACTCCTGGGTTGGATGAAAGAGGGGGCTGGGGACTTGGGCTCCTAGTTCTGAAGGAGGAGGAGGCTGGGGATGGGACCCCAGGTTCTGAGAGAGGAGGGGGGCTGAGGACTTGGGGCACCCAGTTCTGAAGGAGGATAAAGGAGGAAAGAGGAGTTCAGGACAGTGATCAGAAGGGGAAAGAGCTGGGAACCCAGACACTCTGCACCTGGAGGAATTAATTACCTGGGGTTCAGAGGACACCAGAAGCTGAAGCTTCCAGGGGCTTAGCTCCAAGACCCCAACTTAGAGGAGCTGGGTGTCCATGCCACGGTGGGGGGTTACAGAGAAGCCCTCGCCATGGCCCAATTCACATCCCCACAGTTACTTAAGAGAAGCCTGATGTGTCACTCCAGCTCCCCAGGGACCCTGCTGACCTGTCTCCCAGTCTCCTCTCCCCCACTGGGGGACCCAGGCACACCAAGCCCAGCCCATTCCACAACTCCACCCCAATTTCAGGGACCTCTCTGAACCCAGGCCCTGGCAACCCATGACTCTCTCTGTTCACCAACCTCACTCTCTGGGTGAGAGACCTACACCCTTTCTCCCCCAAGCTCCAGCCCTTTCCTTCCTTCTGAGGGGGCCAGATGGCTGAGTGAACCCCTAGGATTTAAGCCTCAACTTCCTTCAAATCCCAAATCTTGAGGCCCTTGGAAACCCAAGACACAGAAATCCAGGCCCCCAGCCACTCCCATCCTAGGGCCCAGCCCCTGACCAACTTAGGACTTCCCAGCCTCCCCTGAAGCAGTACGCATGTGTCTAAGGCCACAGGCTTCTCTCCTCCCAGGAACCTACAAGGCAGGCCCCCATTCTCCTATCCCAGAACCTCAAAGCGCAGGTCTCCAGGGCGGGCTTCCCGGGTCCACGCACCAGAACTTATACAGCTTCTCCACATCCCAAGTTAGCTCTTTCACTCACCCTCCTGGAGCATGTACCAGGGACCCCATGCACTTCTGACTTTTGCACTTTCTCAAGACCCTTCCCTAACCGTGTTTCTCGGAGCCCAGTCTTCTCGATCTAGGGATCCAGCCGAATAGCCCCTCCCGTGCAACCACCCGGGACCTGGGCATCTAACTTCTCATTTTAATCCAGGAGACCCACCTTCTCCCGGGGTTCAGGACACACATAATCTCCCCAAGGGCATAGGAGTCACAGGCTTCTTGTCCAGGACAAGAGAGTCGTGTCACTCAGCTCCGTTCCTTTACGATGCAGAGCTCTGGAGGCCCCCGCCCCCCCATTCCCAAGTGCCCTTCCTGTCCAGGGCCAGGTGCCTGGTGTGCTCACCCTTGTTGGCCACCTCCCAGGCCACTTCGAAGAGCACTGTGTTTTCCAGGTCGAATTCATCCTCCCACTCCTCCAGTCCGGGCAGTGAGGATATGGACAAACTGCGGCTTAGAGGCATGGCTAGCACAAGAAGGGGAGTCTGGGGGCCACAGGTGGGGGCCCTGAAGGTGTGCAGGGAATGCACCGGGCAGGGCGTGGCACTCAGTAGCTGGTGTCCAACGGAAAGCTTGCAATACCCTCTCGGCTTCCTATTGCACGACCGCACCCCCCAGCTCGTCAGCGCTCAGACCAAGGCTGGAGGCGGCCACAGCGTCACTGAGCCTCCTGGCTCGGCTGCAGTGAAACTTGCGGCCGCCAGGAGGCGGAACCCGCCCCCCGGATGACGCTATTGGCCCGGATCCGGGGGCGGGGCGCCCGCGTCTGCTCATTGGTTTAGAGCGTCGGGCTCACTCTGGGTTCCCAAGGCCCTAGTAGTCGACGCACGCCGTGGGGGGCGGAGTTATTACTATACTTCTCGGAATCGATTGGCGCCCAAGACTGTCAGTCAGAAGCTGGAGGCCCCAAAGCGGGGGAGAAGGGAAAGAGCGAGGGTGGGATGTGAAGGAAAGGGAGCGTGGAGGACGTGTGGTGGCCCAGTGTTAAGAAAAGAGGAGGAGTCAGGAGGCATTGGGGAGGGACCTAGAAGGTCCAGTCCTCCGTGGATGGGAGGTGCCGATAGCGTGATGCCACGCCCCTTTAAGAGAGTATTTACATATTCATGAAGATCAACCACCGAGACATTTGGAGGACTTGCAAGCCTAGAGAGGCCGGGACGCCTCGCTCCTAGTGCGCTTCAGCTTCCGCCAGGGTATTGGCGGTTAGTGAGCATCATGGCAACCGTGGTGAGTGGTGGCTCGTGCATAGCGGATCCGCATGCCTGAGTCACGGGGACAAGGGGACTGGGAGATGGGACTCCTGGGTCCGAGGGAGGAAGGGACGGGGAGGGGGGGGAAGGAGGGGAGTTTTACTGCAGAGCCTGAGAAAGGACGGACTGGGACCTGATCTCTGTGCTCGGAGGGAGGACAAGTTGGGGGCTCTGCCTTTTGGGTTTAAAGGAGGAGACAAGGGCCTGAACTCCAGGGCTAAAGTGAATGTTAACGACCTCAAGGGTTATGTCTGACCCCGTCATTGCTATGGAGATTGCAGCACCCAGAATCCTGTAGGGCCTTCCCCTCCTGCGCCGTCCCTCCACCCTCCCAGGCATGATGTCC